GGGGGGGGGGGGGGGGGGGGGGGGGGGGGGGGGGGGGGGGGCGAATTCTCTCACATCTTAATTTAGCCTCGCGCTCCATCAGACAAAGCTGGGGAAGGGACCACCTCAGTGATTTTCCAAACCCGCATCCAAGAGAACATCCTTTCTGAATAATAAATGGCCCCCAGATGAGGTGGAAGGAGGGGTGGCCAACAGCCTGGTCACCCCTGAACTCATCCTGGGGGAAGCTTAATGTGAGGGACACCTGTGGGGGTGGGGGTTGCCCAGCCCCCCAGCTGAATGCCAGCCTGAGCCCTCTCTGGGCCTCAGTGGGCACCCCCCAAGAACACTGCAGGGGGCTGCAGCTGGGGGCGGGGGGAGCACCGGGAGGAGGGAGAAAAGAGTTGGGGCTGGGGCTGAGGTGGCAGGGAAAGCCTTGGGAGTCACAAAGTGCCAGAGGAGAATGGTGACAACCGCCTTCCGACCCCCAGATGACCTCTTCATTTGCATAATCCATGCATAATTAGCATACTTACCCTGTGCCGTTCCCTTAAAGGAGAACAGAATCCAAAGGCCCCAGGACCCTGTGGCCCTGCCCCTGCTCCTCACCGCGCCCCACCTCTGGGTAAACTCACACCCCCTTCGTGCTTGATAAACACATCCACACGCCTAACACACCCACACACTGCAGCTAGCAGGCGATCCGCACCCTCACGGGCACACATGGCTGTGCCCTATAGAAACACGTGGCTATTCACCCATACCCCGGCGTGTGCACGCGCGCACACGAACAGTGTTTACCGACCCCAGCCCGTGTGCCACCTCAGCTCCTAGCTGGGGACAGACCTCACACAGGCGTCAGCAAAATCCCCTAACCATGTGGGTGGCACCCACCTCAGTCAGGGCGCATACCGACCCTCCTCGGGTCCAAGCACCGTCCCCAAACCTCGTTCCCCACGGCAGGGACACGTACGGACTCTGGCACAAACCTCATGGCCTGTAAGAAACCTTTGCTGCCGCTCACGTGTTGCATACCCACCACACAGACCAGAGGTGTGAGCGGCAGGCAGAAGCCCCCCCGCTTGCAGAAACCCCTGAACCTTCGGCTTCCTGCCACCACCAACCCCAGGAGCCCAACCGGAGGCTCCCTGAGCTGCTGAAGAAGCTCTAGGCTCCCCAATCCGCCACCACGCATCCTATACCTGTGTCCCACAGCCCCACTCCCTCCCTGCACGGCCCCACTCCCTCCCTGCACGGCCCCACTCCCTCCCTGCATGGCCTCAATTCAGAAGCACCCACCCAGCCCTCCACATACATTGATGTCCGTGCACACCGTCCACACGCCCTAGTCTCCTCCAAACACACACACACACACGCACCATGCATGCCTTTTTTTCTGGGTACTGACAAGCACACAAAACACTGGGCTGAGCCCTTCCTGATGGGCTGCCACACCCCTGCCTTTTTTCCCTGCTACCCTTTCCCTACCTCTCCATCTTGAGCTGCCCCACAGCTTCACCCCAGAGAGGAATCACGGACTCCCACAGTGATCAGAGGGCCTCCCTCCTGACACTCACCCCACTCACCCCTGCTGATCCCCTCCAAGTCGGAGAGCAGCTGAGGAGGGTGAGGGACTCAAATCAGCTGAACCTCAGATATGTCTCCTCCAAGTGCAGGGGGTGCGTGCAGGGAACAAGCCAGGGAGCCTCCCTCTGCCCCCAGCCTCCTTCCCAGACTAGAAGTCTGGGGTTTCTCATGCCCAGCCCCTATCACCTGCCCTCCCCCATCAGGAATATTCCCTGAGAAATAGGAGAGCACAGATGTTAAGCCAGAGTGGATCAGCCATGCCCTGACTCTCCGTGGGACATCAGGCGAGCTTCCGAATCGGTCAGCACCTCAGCCTTCTCATCTGTCAAATGGGGA